CACCAAATTTGCTGAGCTTTTTTTAGGGGGAATTGCACATGCGCCATCACCCCAGCAGGGCCATTGATGGGGGTTGGCAAAGTGGGCAGCCGTTCCCCCCATGCCACTGCAGAAAATGCTCTCTAGAGCGTGCGCCTCCCACAGCAACATGTTGGGGAGTTGTGCGCCTGCCAACCAGCTGGCTGGCGGCATGCGACTCCCCCCCGCCCACTTATCCATGAATAGGATGATCACAGTTTTTTGACATTATTTTTGAGTAAAAAATCCTTGTCTAATGCACTGAAATATAAAGTATACTTATTCCGAGTTTCAGCCTTTGGAGATGTCTGGAGAGCTACAGCTTCTTCCCTGTGCTTCATCTAGACCTTGAGGGTAGGAGGTGACATTTGTTCAGTTGTGTGTCCGTCTATGTGTGTTTGTGCAAATCAAAGATTGGGATCAAGATGAATGCTGAAAAAGCTATGGCATTCTAGTAACATCCCTCCATAAAAGCAAAGAGCCAGTTTTTGAGGTAACGAATGGAGTTGGTGCAGTCTGATCGTTGCAACGACAAGAGAATGTCATTTCCTTATTTGGGAGATCCAATCTTTAGCCTTTCCCAGAAACATTAAGAACATAAAATAAGCCCCACTGGATCAGCCTAAAGGGCCAACGAGTCCAAAATCCTGTTCTTTCTGCTCAGTGAGTTCCTGTGTCTTCCTTTATCTCTGCTCAGGTGCATTTCTCCCCAGTTCCATATAATGTTCCAAGAGGCCAACTGAGGCTGGCCCAGCAGTCTACGCCAGGCATAGGCAAGCTCCGGCCCTCCAGATGTTTGGGACTACAATTCCCATAATCCCTGACCACTGGTCCTGTTAGCTAGGGATGATGGGAGTTGTAGTCCCAAACAACTGGAGGGCCGGAGTTTGCCTATGCCTGGTCTATGCCATTGCTTAGTGATCCAGCTTGAAGAGGAGAAATGTGTGTCTGTTGCTGAAGAGGCATCATGGAGTAATGTTTCCTGAAAAAGGCACCCACATAATTGATTCAGGAGGCTACAAGGGGATTCTGAAGGCTTTATACCTCGCAGTTGGTGGAAGGCATGGATGTGCTGAACAGATCGTGGCCAGCAGGTCTCCTCTACTCTTTCCTTCCAACTCCTTTTCTGGTTTGAGTGCGGAAAAAGGAGCGACAAGAGAAAGCAGCAATCAAACCTGTTGCTCCCTATTGGCCCAAGAGATCATTGTTTTCTGAGATAGTATAGCTAGTCGTAGCCGCATCATGGACTCATTCTTGAAATGCCGCCTGTGGGGATTCCAATCACGGCAGAGAAGGTCAGCATGGGGCAGGGAACCAATTGTACATTGCTTTGGGGTGGGTGTAACCACTCTTTGAGCATAGGTTGGAATTCTCTCTATATAAGGTGTCTCTTCCTGAAGGATGCTCAGAGGCGCATACGAGCGAAAGAAGACATTTTGATCCACTCTTTGGGAGACCAATTTCTATTACACTAGGTAAGAAAAAGGTTTGGACATGCTCATCTACAAAGCTATTTTTCATTGTTTTGTTCAAGAGCGGGAAAGGTGGCCTAGAAGACACACTATAGGTGGGTTTTTAATCAGCCAGCTTTTGAATAGCTAAACTTTGTCTGTCATTTCTTTTCTTCCATATCTGATTTCAATTTTCCCTGATTTTTTGATTTTCAATTTGATAGAATAAACCTTTTCCACTTTTAACAACACTTTTCTCCTTGTGTGCCCCCCCCCCCGAATTTTATTTCTGTATGCAGATATTCATTCATTCAGCATGCTGAAATTCAGGTTACAATGCTTTCTCCAGAATTTATTGGGACATCTGAAAGAGAAAGAGGGTCTGACTTGAATTTTATGTATTTCTTAATCCATCTGTTTGAATTTAAGGACGGGCACAGATGTCTGCCTTTTTCCTCTTTGCTCATCCCTTTTTCCTTTTGTATAATTACAATCTTCAGCCTGCGAGTAGGGACTACCTATTTTTCAATTGGTTGTACTTATGCTGCCCTGGGAGTCAAACACTGTTCCTTCTTTCTGGCAATAAAGATACATTGGCAATAAAAGCAATAAATTGCTATTATTTCATGAAAACCTGAATCAGCTCCCTGAGGAGGCCACCACACTCTGACTAAGGTTAACAGTTTGGCCCTTTGGGAAGTAATGTCTTGAATTTCAGTATGCTAATTTGGGGAACACACTTCTGTTTATTTCTGCTGTAGTGACATGAAGAATAATGGTGTCATTCATTATCCTTGCAGAGGCTAATTTTTGTGTGATTTTTGAAGTGCTTATTAGTCTCTGGAACTGAGTTTTATCCTTTTCATCAATGTGTCTAACCACAATATATATGATTGTATGGGGTGGAGGAAGAGAGATGGGAATGGGGAAGGGCCAAAACACTATGCTAGACAATAAAGGCGTACCTTGGATCCAAACGCCTTGCGAGTCAAACATTTTTTGCCCCTGAATGCTGTAAACCTGAAAGTGAGTGTTTCGGTTTGTGAACGTGCTTTGAAAATTGAACATCTGGTGCAACTTTTCTGGCTTCCTGCAGCCAATCAGGAGCTGTGCCTTGGTTTCCAAAAATTTTGGAAGTTGAACGGAGTTCCGAAACGGATTCCGTTTGACTTCTGAGGTACCACAGTACTGATGTAGATGGGACAGTGTCTGACGGCAGTATTAGGCAGCCTCATAACTTCCTAATGAGGGAATTGCGATTACTATTTGAGCAAGGCTGTTATAGCCCTTTTCAGATTTTTCCTTGATATTTCCTAGGAACTGGGTTATATAATAAATCTGATGGAAAAAGGGAAAGAATGAAAATGCTCTATTGAACTTTAAACTGTTTCCGGTTTTTTCTGCACAGAACAACCACCAAGAGCCACAGTGAGCCATGGCTGCCAAGGGGCCCTGTCCTTTATGGCTGCTCTTGGTTTTGCTCTCCTGGATGGTGCTGGGGACTGAAGCCTCCTGGGACTTCCAATCCTTCAAACACGAGTATGTCAATTACCCGAAGACTGAAGTCAAAGATTACTGCGACTATATAATCAAGAAAAGAGGCCTGGTTCCCAACGCCGAACGCACTTTCGTTCATGTCTCAGACCAAGATCTTAAAAAACATCTGCACTTTTTCTGGCCGCCCATACACTGGTGCCATGTTGAGCTCATCTGATTTTCCAGTCACCAGATGTGTAAGATTTAAATTCATCTACCACGATATAGACTATAGTAGGAGAATTTCGCTTAGATGTGAGAACGGATACCCAATTGAATTAAGATATTGAATGCCATTGTTGCACAAGCAGACTTCTGCTCAGGCAACAAACCTCCGCTACCATCCTCTCCGACACTCAGCAGCCCCCTACACTTTCCCCCTCCTGGACTCCATCCCTCTCAAGAAACCTCTCAAGGTAGTCCTCCAATCTTCCAGGGCAGATCTGGGCAAAGGCAAGAGGATTGCAAGAAGGCGGAGTTGAAGAAGTCCTTTTACTTAAGCAAATATCTGTTTTACCTGCTCACAAGTCACCATTGGATTGCCACCAGGATTTCTTCCTTCCTGAGGGTGAAAAGGCCACTCTGATCACTTTGGGCCTCCACTTTGTCCCACCGCCTATCTCCTACATCACTTTTCATCATATATAAGTATGATCTCATGCCTTTTCTCATGATTTTTGCTGCTGTGGGATCAAGCAGTTATTTGTGGTATGCTGGTTGCCTGTTTAAACCCAGCCTCTTTTCTAACTCTTCCACCTTGTGACTCAGATAAGCAGACATGGAATATATCTTTCTTATATACAGCTTTGTTCTTTCCCCCTTTTTTTCTCTGTATCACTCTGTTTCTTATAAAACTGAAATTATGTCAATAAAATATGAACATTAAAATCCCTGAAACTGTCTATGACTTTCTGGTCCACTTCCATTTGTCTTTCTCGCAGCACTGTCAGTTCTGTGCTTTTCTCACTCACCAAAATAATGTCAGGGATGTGGCTGGATAGAACACCTGGCATGAGTCTGACTCTGGAGATGAAGGAATGCCAGTACAGAGGGAGCCAGAGTCTGACTCTGGAGAGGAGGGACTGCAGCCGCAGACAGAGCAGGAGTGGGTTAGTTCATCCCCCCTTCATCAAGAGTTCCCAGACTCAGATAGAGCAGCAAACTCGGAAAGCTCGCAGGAGAAGGGAGGGGAGGAGATGGATGACATTGAGGGGGTTGCTATGCAACCAGGAGGGAGGCAGCGTTTAGAGGGGTCATCGTTTGATAGTGGGGGGGGGGAGTTCACCCACCTTCTCGCCAAACCAGAAGAGCTGAGAGGGTTAAAATGCAATAGGTATACAAGAGAGGAAGGACAGGCCTTTGGCACCCTTTGTGCTGTGAAAGGGGCAGGGACTCAGAATGACCAACTCGTAGCTAAGAGCGACAGGTTCGGAGCCGCTCTCTGGGTGTTAATTGTAAATAAACATGTCATAAAACTGACAGGGACTCATTAATTCTTATTGTGGCTTGCTTGATTGCCTGTCTGAGATCATTACACTACTTGATGAAAGGTGTCTCCCTAAACAAAACAGTAACCTTTTTAAAGAGATTTTTTTTTTGTTTACCTATAGCTCATACTTAAAAATATGGCAATTTGTAAAACTTAGGCAAAACAGTTTGTGGAAATGGAGCCAAAGACAGTAGAACCAACTACTTCTAGTTTTGTCCCATTTCCCAAGCACTCACTCCCCACCCTGAATTCTGCAAGGCCAACCCTGAATCTGAGAAGGAAGTTGACAACCAGGGAAACCCCCTGGGCTGGCATAAGAAAGGAGGCAGGTGATGGCTGACTGGGGTCAGGTTGCATTTGTTGGGGCAGTGTTCCTTTGATCCTAAAGGACCAGCCTCCACTGGTTTCTCCTGGCACCGTCAGGGACTAATCTGATTGGTGTCCTGAGAATTCCATTTGGACTTTGGGGAAAAGTCAAATAGAATGGGGTCCTGCAAGCTGGCCGTGTGCCATAGGCCAGAAGCGGTGTCCCCCATAGAACAAAAGGCCAGGCAAAGCATTGACAGGGTGTCATCTGGAGGTGCAGGCAGACAGAGAGGAGCAAGAGAGAAGACTGGAGGCTAAATAAAGGAAACTGTAAGTTATTGGGTTTGATTGTTGTTGCATAAGAGCGTAACAGTTATTGAAAGTTGACAGCAACAGTGGATCTATTTCAGTTTATGGAAGGTGGGAGTAAAAATCTACACAGAATTAACACTGCAAACTTTTAGCACATTATATATAAATAGATCTTGGGTAGGACTGCCATATCCAGAAACAAAAGTTTTTGGCATTTTTTTTACAAATTAAGATTTTGAACTGTTTTTAAGGAAATTCACCTAAATCAACATTTCTGACATGGGTTGTCATGTGTCCAGATTTTTCTGGACATTTCAGCAAATTCCAATCAGACACTGGCCAAATCCTAGCTGTGTCCGGGAAATTCTAGACTTATGGCGACCCTAATGTTGGGTAAAGGAACATTTCAGAGAACATTACTTGCTTGTAGGGCTTTCGAGAACTCCCTGGAACTCAGTCCTGGCACCTCTCATGAGGGCACCATTGCCATTTAAAAGAAGAAAAAGAAGAGGGGTTCATGATGAGTTCTGGCACCTCCTTTTCTAGAAAAATAGCCTTCATGCTTGGGAAACATAAGTAGAATGTAAAACATGTTGTTGCGTGACAAAGCCCCCATGATTGTCCACCTAATGGCCAATAAACACACGGACATGAGAGTTTTGGTTTATGGGTTCCAATAGGCCACAACTTTATTGGTTACAGATGTGAACGTGTTGGCTTAGGCATTGGGTGAAGCCAGGCTATTTCTTGACTCCTGCCTGTCTGCTGGGAGTCCATCTAAGGGTAAACTACCATTAGGGGGCGCCCTATGAATTACATCAATTAGCGACACCCCGAGGGGTCCCCGTAAGGGTTGAGACATGGCCCTAGCCCACATCCTGGCCTTGGACAGAATTCACAACTCCGGATCCCTTTAACAGGATACCCTTACTGAGGATGGGCAGGCGGAGGCTACAACCTCCCCTCCATATAAACAAAGGCTAACCGCCACTCGAGCCCAAAGGGCTTGCCGCCAACACCCTCACACCTGCAACCAATCCCTGATGGACTCTGAAGTGTCATTCAACAGGGTATCATTGCCGACATCATGAAGGTGTACCCCGTCACCGCGAGACAAGGCTTCCTTGTCGAAGGTGAAGACAGGTGATTGCTTTCTTTCTGGCTCTATTAATGGCCAGAAAGGAAAGCTAAGACCAGGCATCCCCAAACTCGGCCTTCCATATGTGTAGGGACTACAATTCCCATCATCCCAGACCACTGGTCCTGTTAGCTAGGGATGAAGGGAGTTGTAGTCCCAAAACATCTGGAGGGCCGAGTATGGGGATGCCTGGCTTAGACTATTGTTGAAGCTTTGTTTATTTTATTTTATTTTTTAAATGATATTTATTCAAAATTTCATCAAAACAAGACACAGAGGGGAAAAAATATACAGCAAGAAATAAAACAAAAGGAAAAAAAACCCCAAAAATGAAAGAAGAAAAATACAAATCTCAGATCAGTGGCGTAGCGTGGGTTGTCAGCACCCGGGGCAAAGCAAGTAATTTGTGCCCCCTAACCCGTGGATTTGCGCCCCCTAACCCGTGGATTTGCGCCCCCTAACCCTAACCCCCAGATGTTGCGCCCGGTGCGGCCGGCCCCCCCTGCACCCCCCACGCTACGCCACTGTCTCAGATTGCAACTTTTCATTTGCTTGATTCTTGAACCTCCTCGCACCTCCCTTTTTGTATTCTAATTTAATTCGTTATTTCAGCAAATTCTTCCCATGTTTCTCAATTTTAATTTAAATGATTAATCTTCACAATCTCTCTTATTTATTAATCAAGATAACCTTTCCATCCTTTAATGTAATCTGTTATTCAATTTACCTTAATCTCTTTACCCTTATCTTATCTTAAAAATCTTCAAATTTCAAAGTTTACATCATATTCATACATATCTCCTTAAAATCATTTCTACTAAAGCCAATTTAGTTCCTTTCCAGCATATTCCCTCAAATTTCATTGATGTTGCGCTAATTCCAAAATTAGCAAAAGAATTTCCCTTGATATCTCTAATTTTTATCCAACGTCCCTTCTTCCTGGTTTTGGGTCATGTCAGTCCTTTCTGTCCATTACATCCAGTCCATCAATCTGGTGTTCTAATGTCCGAGGCCCTTAAATCTCTTCTAGGCCCCTTCTGCAATTTTTTTTGTTCTTGTTTGTGCTTGCACACTTCTTTATCAATTGTTGGTTTCTTGGGGAGTGGGTTCCATCCAGTAATAGTTTCCATTTTCCTTCATCAGATTGGCCCCTTCCCCCCAGTCCCACTCCCCGTCTTCATCTTTGTAATCCAAAGGATATTTATCCAGAAGATAGTTGTTCACCTGTTTCATAGTCCCACTAGAGTTAAAAGCTTCCTTGACTTCAAATACTTCCCAGCAGTCTCCAAGTTCAATCTTCCAACACAGTAGCTTTTGTTCCTGCAGGACTTTGGATCTTTCCATTTGTGTTGTTTGAGGAGTAATCACTGCCTTTTCTTTCTCCATCTGCCCTTGGACTTGCCTTGTCAAACCAGATTCCTGAATTGATCGCTGTATAACTTCTTTATCCTTATTCCCTGTTAAATCATATTCACTGGCCACAGCACTCATCAGGTCCAATTTTTCATGCATCAAGTTCATTTTCTCATGCAGCTGCTCCAGCAAAGCATTAGTCATGCCAAGGGCAGACACCAAACCTTCCTGCCAACACATTTCTGTTCAAGATCAAGGTCAAACGGCTGGTCCCACGATCCAAATCTCACATCTGTAGAGTCTCCAAGTAAGCTGCAACAACAAACTGACAGGCTCCTTCTAGGGAACACAATTTCTATTTGTATCCATTTTTAAAATATATCCAACAAAGGAGATTACTTTCGATTTCAGTTCCTTTCGATTTCAGATACTTTGTTTCTTTAAAAAGAAAAGAAATGCAGAAAGTAGCGTTGAAGTTAATTTGTTTCTCTCTCTCGCTCTCTTTTATAAACTATCTGTCAAAGTGCTCCACTTTCAATCAATGGACGTCTCAAACAGTTTCTGTCCCGACACCCCGTCCCCAGGTTTGGGGCGATGGAAACTTAAATTCCTTTACTCTCCTCCTGCAGGATTAAACAGTCAAATCCCCCCCCCTTCTCCTGCTTCCAAGGGGGTTTTATTGGTTGTGGATGCAGGAAATTTCCAACTTTAAAGCAGTTTTTCAGGCTATTAGGTTGCGAGGTCTTTGCTTCAATCTGTATACAAAAACGGGAGGCGGACTTTCTGTTTACACCTTCCTGCTTTGTGCCTAATTCATAAATTTTGCAAATTTCTTAATCCAATTCTCCGTTTTTACTCACGGGTGCTTGATTTAAAGTCCAAATGTCATCAGGAAAAAGTCAGCGCTCTCCGGCGATGGCTGCGCGGCTTCCCTCCATGGAAATAGCGATCGGTTCGCAGCACCGCGCTGCTCACTCCACTTCACTCCGGAGCCCCAAAAAGGGGTTTCCTCGTGAGTAGGGGAGGCGCTCTTGGTGCTCAGCCGAACCCCACGTTCCCACGCTTCTCCGCCTGGGATTTCTAGCGGGGCCCCGCCTTCGCCGCGGCGGGAAGACCCAATTTCCACAGAGCCCGTTCCTCCGATCGGAGGAACTCCGCCATTCGTCGTTGGCGCTGAACCGGAAGTCCCTATTGTTGAAGCTTTGTTTAAGCTGCCAACCGGGAAAGGTAAGCAGACTTATTATAAGGGGAATACTTTTTTTTTTTAAGAGGGGTGAAAATACAGCATTAAACCACTAGAATGGGAAGCTGTTGTGTGTCCGAATTGCAACATTCAAAAGTGACTCCGATTTAGGTCTCATTAAATGCTACTAGGCAAGGGGGAATTAGTTAAACTGTATGACGCACTGTGAAGTGTCATTCAACAGGGTATATCACTGCCCACATTGGAAAGGTGTACCCCATTATTGCAAGACAAGACTTCCTTGTTGAAGGGGAAGCAGGTGATTGCTTTCTTTCTGGCTCTATTAATGGCCAGAAAGGAAACCTAAGACCAGGCCTCCCCAAACTTGGCCCTCCATATGTTTAGTTTACAATTCCCCTCATCCCAGACCACTGGTCCTGTTAGCTAGGTATGATGGGAGTTGTAGTCCCAAAACATCTGGAGGGCCGGGTTTGGGGATGCCTGGCTTAGACCATTGTTTAAGCTTTGTTTAAGCTGCCAAGCGGGAAAGGTGCGCAGACTTATTATAAGGGGAATACTTTTTTTAAGAGGGGTGAACATACAGCATTAAACCACTAGATGGGGGAGCTGTTGTGTGTCCGAATTGCAACATTCAAAAGTGACTCCGATTTAGGTCTCATTAAATGCTACTAGGCAAGGGGGAATTAGTTAAACTGTATGTTTCAAAGTTCCGTTTATTGAAAAGGCTATGTGAAAAAATTGATGATTGAAGGAAAAATTAATAAAAGTTTGCATGCCTACATGTTAGAGTGAATATGCCTCCCTCCCCCCATAACCACCAGCCCCCAGAGATTTAACTTCCATGTACACTGAGGTGGGAGCACCCAATCCTGAATATGGCAACTTCAGAAAACACCCCCCAAAGGCATTACTTCACCCCCACAAAATCTCCAACAGATACATTTTTTTCCCTAAAATGCAAATGAAATACTAAGCACAGGAATTTGCATATCATGAGGACTATCCCTTGTAAATGCTGACTCAACACATTGTTGTTTATCAAGTACTGACTGGCAAGTGTCAATATTCACACAGACATGTGATCATGACTAGACAGCATCCACCATTTGCAGATGAGAATTTGAAAGGATATACAGTGGTACCTCGGGTTAAGAACATAATTCATTCCAGAGGTCCATTCTTAACCTGAAACTGTTCTTAACCTGAGGTACCACTTTAGCTAATGGGATCTCCCACTGCTGCTGCCGCTGCGCCACCACTCTGCAACTTCTGTTCTCATCCTGAAGCAAAGTTCTTTACCCAAGGTACTATTTCTGGGTTAGTGGAGTCTGTAACCTGAAGCATCTGTAACCCGAGGTACCACTGTACAGTCATACATTGAGAGTTGAACAGAATCCATTCCGGAAGTCCGTTTGACTTCCATAATGTTCAGAAACCAAAGCACGGCTTCTGACTGGGCGCAGGAAGGTCCTGTAGCCAAGCGGAAGCCACAGAAGCCCCGTTGGATGTTCGGGTTGCAAACCAGAACAGTCACTTCTGGGTTTGTGGCATTCAGGAGTCAAAACTTCCAAGTTCCAGGGCGTTTGAGATCCAAGGTACGACTGTACAGTATTCGTTTGAACTCCAAGCCGTTTCACAAAGCAGCCTGAAAGAAAGCGTTTATACACCCACTTTACTTTCCCCCCAGGTATCTCTTTCAGGCGGTGGTCGCCCACGATGATGCCTTTCAAGGGATCTGGCCTTGTGCTCCTCACCCTTCTGGTGTCTGTGCTAGTCCTGGGAGCCTATTGTGCACCCAGCTATGAGACGTTCCTAACCCAGCACTACGATAATCCCAAGAGCAGCGTCGGCAAGCAGTATTGTGATGTCATGATGAAAAGACGTGGGCTGGACAAACCAGCATGCAAGGAAGTGAACACCTTCATCCACGGCACCAAGAATAACATCATAGCTGTGTGCACTGCATCTGGAGGGAAGGATTATGGGAAGGGGTTGAGGATTAGTCTCCGCCCCTTCACTGTCACCACCTGCAAGCACAAAGGCGGCTCAACTCGCCCACCTTGCAAGTACTCTGATAACAAGTCATCCAGGTACATCGTCATTGCCTGTAATCAGGATGGGAAGCCTGTGCACTTTGATGAAAGCCTCATTGTACCATAGGATTTTCAAGGCCCAGATAAAAAATGTTATGTCATCTCCTACACCTTCACTGAAAATGTTTGATTTCTTTAGAAGCTTTCAGTTCTAAAACTGAGTAAAGAAGAAATGTTTAAAAGAGTCTTTGCTAATTGTTAATTACCATGTTGATTCCCTGCATATGTATCTGTCCCATGTCTGAGTCCTGAAAGCTCAAGAGTACGGGAGTGTGCGTGTTTCTAATACATGTGGAAATAAAAATCATTTGCTTTAATCACCCCTATCCATAGCTGTATCAGGCAGCAACATGGCAGAACATTACACAAACCTGGGGAGATTGGAAGCTTTGGAGGAGTGGACCCTCTATTTCATAAAACAGTGTGAAATATTGAGCAGGAAACAGGTTATGAAATGGCTTTCAGATCAGGAAGCTTCCCCTGTGCACAAGCCATAAGTCAATGTATTTCCTCTATGCTTATCTGAGTGTCGGGGACCGTGCTGAGGAGGGGTGCACTGAGGAGGAACAGTGGGAGCCTCCGCCTGATCCGGATCCTGAATCTTCCCAGAGCAGTATAGATTTGGAAAGGTGGTTTGCAGACGGACACAGTTCAGAAGGCAGAAGCTGGGAAATACTGGATGGGGAACAGCTAGGAGAAGCACTGGGAGAGAGAGGGTTAACAGATTCACTGTCTATGGAAAGCATTCATCCGCTCAGCCCAAGGTCAAGAAGAGCTGATAAGGTGGCAGCACAGAAAGCACAGTAGTTACAAGACACGGTAGTGACATGGGTGACTAGGGAGGAAGTGGGTGGAACCCTGAATTGGGAGTGCCACCGTTCCTAGGAAATGGATTCTTTGTTCTCTCGCTGTGATCATTAAACTTTCTAACTGGTAAAAAGACTCCTTTTCCTTTGATCTGCTTATGTACAGCCAAAGGGGGAAGGAATGCCAATTCTCTGAAGTCTGACACTGAGTCACAGTGGGAGGGGGAGGGGTCAGAAACAGAAATGGGTTTCAATAAGCAACAACTGACACAAGACACCGACACAAAATGACTCCCCCTTCAACTCCCCTATTTTATTTTAAAATCTCTGCCATCTGAAAAATCATTGTGGTTAGACTCCTTTCTTTTGACTTCACCCATCTTTCTGTTCTCTGTAATTCTACTGAGGTGACACCATTGAAATCCCCCATGTAATCCATTCTTTTAACCAACACAAACAGGCTGCCTCATACTACATTTGCAGGTCTGGCAGGGAAATGCCTCCTCTTTCCTTTATATCTATCACAAGTTTATGTTTCATTGTTAGCTTTTCCCCCTGCCAGATGAATTTAGAAATATCCATCTTCCAGTGTTTGAAGCAGCCTGAAGTATTTACATTTGGAATTGATTGTAATCAATAATACTTTGGTGGTCCCGAGCCTCAGGGAGGTTAGACTGACCTCGACCAGGGCCAGAGCCTTTTCAGCTCTGGCCCCGGCTCTGTCGCAAGAACCTAGGGCCCTGCAGGACTTGACATCTTTCCATAGGGCCTGCAAGACGGAGCTGTTCCGCCAGGCGTTTTTTCTATGGAACTCTATATGTAACGGGCCTCCTTGGCTATTTCTAGAGGCCCATGGGATACCAGCACACGTGGCTGGGCCTGGTGAACATTTAATATACCTTACCCCTACGGCTGCAATTCGTGGGTTCCCACTTAATTTTATTCTTAATTTAAATGTGATTTTGAACTGTATTTTAACCAATTGTTCGATTTTGTGTTTTTAATGTATTATATATTTGGTGTTAGCCACCCTGAGCCCGGTCTTGGCTGGGGAGGGTGGGGTATTATTATTATTATTACTATTATTATTATTAGAGTGCATTTTAAGCACTCCCCATGACATATTACAGCTCCATTCTTCTCTTTTGTTGCTATTTCGCTCCAGAGTTGTGCTTAATTCTCTTTCCCCACTTCCTGCCCCACCCACTTGGTGACACACTTGAGTGCCCCCCAAGGGGGTTTCTTATTATCAGTCTGACAAATCTTTATTATTTATTATTACTGTTTTCTTTATTTTCTTTAAAATTTTTGCACCCCTAAGAATTTGGCAACCAGGCAACCCAACCCTGTGGCCCTGCCCATGCTACACCACTGCTTACAGTGAAGATATGGGATTCTGCAGATAACTGGGAATGAATGAATGAATGGAGAAAGAGTTTGCTGGGGTTATGCCAGTGCTTGAAGTAATAAAAACCCAGGTTTTTCCCCATGTTTGTTTTATTTATTGTGAGCTTCAGAGATATCCAATTCTGTGGGGAAAGTGGGATGTAAACAAACAAACAAACAAACCCAAAACAAACACACTAAAAGTGTGTTTGTGGCAGGGGAGGTTATAGGCTTTCCCCTTTGTTTTTATTATGTATTTCATAGTTTTCTTTTGTATTTTTGTTCAGTGACCTGCCCTGAGGTCTTTGGATGAAGGGTGGTATATGAATTTAATGAATTAATTAATCAATCAATCCATAATTGTTAATAAAAATAAAAATGCTGGCAAAACAGAAAACTGATGACTCATGGAAGTTAAGCTTACTCTGCCCAAAACATTTTAAAAGATGTGCTGGGAGCTATTAGGACCCCCTTTCTCCCCCTTTTGATGGGACCAAGGAAAATGGACTTTTGCAGAAAAGAAATATGTACTCCCACTCACGTTTGCCCCTCTCCTGTCTGTGAGACTTTGTATACTTAAGCCAGAGTTTTCTGAACAAACAAGAATAAAACACACTGTCCTGTTTTTGCGGGGGAAATAGTTATTTTAGCAAAGTCAGAAAGGCCTGTAAACTCACACATTGAGGACAATAAGCCTCAACATACAAAAGCTATGTAGAAACTAGTTAACATGAATGTTGCAAAAGGGACTTGAGGACTTGGCCAAGATGGCGGGCCCAACTCTAGTGAACTCTTGACATTCCCTGGGGTTTCTAGACCCTACCAGTCCTCTGCGAAGAGAATGAATGACACCATTATTCTTCATGTCACCACAGCAGAAATAAATAGGAGTGAGTTCCCCAAATTAGCATACTGAAATTCCCAAAGTGCCAAACCATTAACCTTAGTCAGAGTGTGGTGGTCTCCTTAGGTAGCTAATTCAGGTTGTCATGAAATAATAGCTATTTATTGATCATTTCCTCCAAAAATTAAACAAACCCTGGATTTAGCAATATTTACATTCCAGAGACAGCATTGTAACCCAAATTTCATGGCTGTTACATAAAGCCATCTCATCAGCCTTCTCTACTCTGAATTGATGCAACCAATCCACAGCTAAGCCACCACATCTATTGTCAGAGAGCTTGTGCTCAAAGATGATTGGCTGCCAGTGAAATGCAGGTAAAGAATATGCTGCCGTGACTAGACCTTAGGAGAAGGAGTCACACAAAGGTTAAATATTGTTTCACAAAAATCAATATCTGCATACAGAAATAAAATTCGGGGGGGCATACAAGGAGAAAAGTGTTAAATATGGAAAAGGTTTATTCTATCAAAGATGGGAGAAAATTGAAATCACGTATGGAAGAAAAGAAATGACAGACAAAGTTTAGCTATTCAATAGATGGCTGATTCAAAACCCTTCAGTGTGCCTTCTAAGCCACCTTTCCCACTCCTGAACAAAACAATGAACATAGCTTTGAAGCCGAGCATGTCAAGGCCTTTTTCTTACCTAGTGTAATAGAAATCGGTCTCCCAAAGAGTGGATCGAAATTGTTAGGATATTTCCGTTCCACCTTAAAAGGGAGCAGGCTTTGTGAGTCACAGAGTCTGCGTATTTCCTGTTCACAGGAAGTTTATGTTTGTCAATTGCTTTCGTTTTCGCTCTGTGCCTGAGACATTGAAGCAGGCAGTCATGTCTTTTCTTTGTTCTGACCAACGCTGAATAAAGTTATAAATAATGCTCCCCTGAGTGCGTCTTTCGCTGTACGAACTCTGCGATAGAGCGTGCACGAGCTCTGGAATGTGGAAAGCTATTTCCTGGGCCTCGTGTCACTAATTGACTGATACTGTATCTACGGGAGATCGATGGACGTCCGGAGTCAACGTGGAGGCAGTGATGGCCTTTGTCTCCCTGGCAGTATCCCAACAGAAATATCTTCCTTCGCTCGTATGCGCCTCTGAGCATCCTTCAGGAAGAGACATCTTATATACAGAGAATTCAGGTATGGTGGATGATTATACTTGGAAAATTATTACTGGATGTCCTGGAACATCCAGGACTGGGAACCCATTTACCTCCTGTGGGAGATGGAAATAATAATAATAATAATAATAATAATAATAATAATAATAATAATAATAATTTTTTATTTATACCCCGCCCTCCCCAGCCAAGGCTGGGCTCAGAGTGGCTTTCAAGCAATAATAAAAACAAGATGAATGATTACAACTTAAAAACAAAAATAAAATACAACATTAAAATAATGGAACATTAAAATATTAAAATGTAGCCTCATTGCAGGAGGAGAAGGAAAAGAAAAAAGAAAGAGAGGGAGGGAGGGAATCAAATTGGCTCCAAGCCAAAGGCCAGGCGGAACAGCTCTGTCTTACAGGCCCTGCGGAAAGAAATCAGATCCTGTAGGGCCCTGGTCTCATGAGGCAGAACATTCCACCAGGCCGGAGCCAGAGTTGAAAAGGCCCTGGCTCTGGTTGAAGCCAATCTAACTTCCTTAGGGCCTGGGACCACTAGGGTGTTGTTATTTATGGACCTTGAGGCTCTCCGTGGGGCATACCAGGAGAGGAGGTCCCGTAGGTACGAGGGTCCTAGTCCGTGAAGGGCTTTAAAGGTCAAAAGCAACACCTTAAATCTGACCCTGTACTCCACCGGGAGCCAGTGCAGCTTGAAAAGCACTGGGTGAATATGCTCCCATGGCAGAGACCCCGTGAGGAGCCTCGCTGCAGCATTCTGTACCCGCTGGAGTTTCTGGGACAGCTTCAAGGGCAGCCCCGCATAGAGCGAATTACAGTAGTCAAGCCTGGAGATGACTGTCACATGGATCACTGTGGCCAGGTCGGGGCGGGAAAGGTAAGAGACC